ATTGGGGAAAAATTGTCTCGCAAATATATATTCAAACGATTGGGAATCGCTTGAAACGTCGAGATTTATGGGTCCCTCGGAACTTTTTTTTTTAAACAATAGCTTTTTTGTTAACAAATTTAAAAATGATTAAACAAATTCGGGAAAAATTGTCTCGCAAATGTATACTTAAACGATTGAGAATTGTCTGAAACGTGGAGATTTATGGGTCCCTCGGAACTTTTTTTTTTAAAGGATATTTTTTTTGTTACCAAATTCAAAAATGATTAAACAAATTCGGGAAAAACTGTCTCGGAAATGTATACTCAAACGATTGAGAATCGTCTGAAACGTGGAGATTTATGGGTCCCTCGGAACTGTTTTTTTTAACGATAGCTTTTTTGTTAACAAATTCAAAAATGATTAAACAAATTCGGGAAAAATTGTCTCGCAAATATATATTACAACGATTGCGAAGGGTCTGAAATGTGGAGATTTATGGGTCCCTCGGAACTTTTTTTTTTAATGATAGCTTTTTTGTTAACAAATTCAAAAATGATTAAACAAATTCGGGAAAAATTGTCTCGCAAATATATATTCCAACGATTGCGAATGGTCTGAAACGTGGAGATTTATTAGTCCCTCGGAACTTTTTTTTTTAAACGATATCTTTTTTGTTAATAAATTCAAAAATGATTAAACAAATTGGGGAAAAATGGTCTTGCGAATATATACTCAAACGATTGGAAATCAGCTGAATCGTCGAGACTTACTGGTCCGTGAGAACTTTTTTTTTTCCACGGTTCTTTTTTTGTTAACAAATTCAAAAATGATTAAACAAATCGGGGAAAAATGGTCTTGCGAATATATACTCAAACGATTGGGAATTAGCTGAATCGTTGAGATTTACTGGTCCCTCGGAACCTTTTTTTTATAACGATACTTTTTTTGTTAACAAATTCGACATTTCTTTAACAAATCGTTAAGAAATTGTCACGCCAGTATATATTCAAACGATTTAGAATCGTAGTAAACGTGGAGATTAGTTTGTCCTTGGGACAATTTTTTGTGCAACGTCATTATTTTTGTTAACAAATGTCGAATTTGTTCACAAAAATAAATACGTTGACAAAAAAATGTTCTGAGGGACCAATAAATCTCCACGTTAAAACGTAAACACGTTTCTCAGTCGTTTGAGTCCATACTTGCGTGACAATTTTTCGCGAATTTGTTCAACAATTTTTCACATTTGTTATCAAAAATGAACCCATTGGAAAAAAAAGGTTCCGAGGGATCAGTAAATCTCGACGATTCAGCTAATTCCCAATCGTTTGAGTATATATTCGCAAGACCGTTTTTCCCCAATTTATTTAATCATTTTTGAATTTGTTAACATAAAAGGAACAATGGAAAAAAAAGGTTCCGAGGGACCAGTAAATCTTGACGATTCAGCTAATTCCCAATCGTTTGAGTATATATTCGCAAGACCATTTTTCCCAATTTGTTTAATCATTTTCGAATTTGTTAACAAAAAAGGAACCGTGGAAAAAAAAAGTTCTCAGGGACCAGTAAATCTCGACAATTCAGCTGATTCCCAATCGTTTGAGTATATATTCGCAAGACCATTTTTCCCCAATCTGTTTAATCATTTTTGAATTTGTTAACATAAAAGGAACAGTGGAAAAAAAAGGTTCTGAGGGACCAGTAAATCTCGACGATTCAGGTGATTCCCAATCGTTTGAGTATATATTCGCAAGATAATTTTTCCCAAATTTTTTAATTAATTATTGAATTTGTTGACAAAAAAAGAACCGTTGAAAAATAAACGTTCCGAGGGACCAGTAAATCTCGACGTTTCAATTGATTCGCAAAAGTTTGAGTATATATTCACCAGACATTTTTTCCTCAATTTGTTGAACAATTTTTCGAATTTACAAAAGTGAATTCATTTCTTTCATTCCGTTCATCGATTGTTTCTCCATCATACCCCCACTCCGCTCGATATGGGATGTTTTCTTTCGTCACGATTTCCTCGAATTATCGACATTCTCGCGTTTGCTCGTCTTTCCGAATTATCGACACTCTCGGGTTCGCGCTCTGCCTTATCTATACCCAAGCCCTCCGAAAGTTATCGACACTCTTGCCCTCGCGACCTGTTTGATTCACAGGTACACCCGCAAAATTAGTTCGGCTAGGGCGGCCAGACAATTTCGCGGTTGAAGCCTCGCCATTGGCGTTAGTAATCTCCCTTATAATCTCTGTCAACACGACTTAGATTTTTGGAGATGAAAAAAGCCCCCTATTAACAACTGGACTGAACATTTTTTTCATTTTGTTATGTACGATAGAATGGTCGAGTAAACATAGACTCAATCTCAGCAATTAGAGATACTTTAGTTTATTAATACCTAACTAAAGAGTAACGGTTTACTCTAATACAATAAAATATGATTTTTAAGTGGACTCAAGTAATTCAATCTATAGTGAACTCGAAAATGAGACCCTGAGACCTGTGTGATCTCGGTTTTTATTGTAAACCGTGGCACACTTGCCTCGATTCATATTACCAAACGCTCTCGTTTGGTAATACATTGCTGACTCTTAAGTTCTTCAGTATTACATTATTCCATAACATTATTGTGTCACTTGATGACACTATCTGAAAATCTGGGACACAACAATTTCACAAAATTCGGTAATCAAGTACGCTTTTAGTAATTAAGTAACATTTTTTTAATAAAAAAAATGAAATCTGCGAGTAGCAACATCAGAGTAAAAATTTAGGAGTGATTATATGGATAACGAATTTCGTAAATTATAGTTTAATAAAAAAAATGCAAACAACATCAAGAATTATAATTGGGAGAATATTTCCATATAAAATCAAAGAACAAGATGGAAGAATTTGGTTAATGTTATCGAATCAATTCAGTTGAGTTGTTTTTTAGATTTGGTTGAATGGACAGAATATTCGTTGAAGTTAATTAAGTATCATGGTAATTCAATGGAATATATTCTCCAATGTACGTAGATGAAGAGAACCGCCCTGTCGATGCAAACGAGTATAGTCAATAATACCTAGTTGCTGAACCTCGGTCGACGCGAATTCTATCTAGCATTGTCTGATACACGAGCTATTAACATGTTTTGTCAGATATACATGTTTATGTATATCTATATTACGGATGAAGGCCCCATTTTGTACGTCTCTGTACAGCTTTGATGGAGCCCGTAATTTAAAACTTGACCAAGGCGCGTACCTCCAGCATCCAACTCGATGACTTTTCTATATTTTATGAACTTTGGCTCAACTTTAGGCATCCTGACTTGATCAATCTGGCTCAATCTGATATTAAGCTCTATACAATCTTCATTCCATCGTTCCTTTTTATCTTATTCCTTTTTATTAATTTCTTTAATATGAGTACGCTTAACGTGTTTTTATATTTATAGTGAATGCTCGATTTTTCCTAATATTGTATATGCTTCTTATTTTTTTTGCATATTAGGCTTTACAAACTATGTAAACGGTTAACTGAGTAGTGCGTTCTAGATAATGTACGATTATAGAAAGAAATATTCAAAGATAACTCAGCAGTGTGGTATCTTAAGACTCACAATTGTGGTCATCATCCATCCATTTCACATCCCCGTGTGTGTATAAGATAACAAAAACAACGAAAACTTCCTAGAATATTCCCCAGCTCAAAGTGGACACAATCTTCAACAAATTGACTTTTACTTTTATTAAAATGACACAAATTTTTAATTTCCTACCAAGAGCCACCTTTGATTCTTATTAAGAAAATTCTTATCACTTTGAATAAGTTATTGTTTATCGGTTATTGTTCCATCCCCGTATCATCATCCACACTTAACTCATGATTGTCCGCATATCGGTTTGGTGTGAAATATTATGTCATATTAGCACTTTTTGTCATGTTGTTTCTATGATTTGGTATTGTTGGACCCTCCATCTTATAATATGAACATAATGTCCTGAAACGATGCGGAATTTTTGGCTTGCCAATAATGTTTTCTTCATTATTACATTATTTTACATTACATTATTACATTACATTAGTAACATTAGTATTTTTACATGACATTATTGTAAAAAAATTCCAATAACACGTCAATTTCGTAGTATTTCCAACTGTTTATTCGAATTTGTAGGCTAAGTTTTTTTTTACCAACAATAATAATGGAAGTCGGTATGGGTGAAATACGTAAAAATTGGTGCTTTCACCTAGAAACAACAATCGAAACAAGTAAGGGAAAGAAATGATAAAAATCAGTACAATAAATTCAGTGATGGCATAAGTTATAGGAAAACTTGTAGGAAAAAAACCTAAAAATGTTCTAGGAACAATTTGAATAAGAAAACAACCGAAGAGTATGGACAGTTGTTTCAGTAATATAATTAAAAAGAGAAAGAAAAAAAAACAGATAACGTGAAAAATTCAAAAATAATGAAAGATAGTATAACTTGAGAACGCTGTCAAGGAAGAGAGCCAGTAAAACGTGTCAGGAAACGTTTGAAGCAGAAAACAACAGAGGGCAAAAGAAGTTTTTTTAATCAATTGAATTGTAAATTGAATAAGTTTATATGAAAATGGGCGATATGACTAAATCTTAAGATACCGCTCTAGTAGCTGTTAAATTCCTACCGAGAAAAGTTCACCATGATTGCTTCCAAACTTTGCTCATTATTGAAATAGTTGAGCAATGTTCGAATCTTTCATAAAATTCATTATTAGAATGAGTATCAAAATTAATTTTTTAAGTTTAAAATTATCTTCTTTTCTATAGGAAACAATGGGATACGATCCAAAAGCTACAATGAAGGAGGGCACTGTGAACAATACGCTGATAATGAGACATCACATGGAATGAATGACGGAGAATGCTCCCTAGAGGAAATTAATTAGTAGAACCAGAATGATCGAGAATCAGTTGAAAAAAACATATAAATATTTTATCCTCCTCCAACATTATCATAAAACAAGGCAGATTGGAGCAAAAAAAACTGGCTTTTTTTTTTTTTTTTTTTCAAAAGGAATGTTGAAATAAGTGTTTTTCTTTGCCTGAATCTCCGCCATTCAAATAATGAAGTTTTTTACAGTTAGAGGTGAAATTTCAATTCGATAGTTGCGCAATACGTTAAAACCAAAACTCAATGGCTGATTTTTATAAAGTGATCTAAGTGGCGGGAAATTGTCTCACATTAAGGCCCGGCCTTCTCGTCGTGGGAAAATTTGGGTGACTTTTACCCCCCCACAGTTTGCGGCAGACTTCGAAGCTCCATCTAAAAAATACACGGTCGATAAGAGGAAAAGTGACAAGACGACACACTTTTCCAGGGCCGTCTAGGGCTCCGAAGTCAGGGTTCCAAATTTTCGGGCCCCCTTCGGAAAAAATAGAAGTGGGAATGAGAAATCCATTTTTATTAATTTTTTTAAACAAATAGGCGCATGGCGGTGAAAAAGGGGGGAGGGGGCATGGATGTGAGGGTGACATGAAAGTTTGGGTATCGGATGAATCCGTCGGAAAATAATGAAGGATTGACAGTGGCATAAGTGTGGCAGGGTAAAATAGGGTGTTGATGGTGCAGTGAGTGCATGTGTGAAAATGAAGGGTTGAGGCTGGGATGAGCCTGGCAGAGTAAAATAGGGGGTTGATGGTGGAGTGAGTGGACGGAAAAAAATGAAGGGCTGAAACTGGGATGAGTGTGGCAGGGTAAAATAGGGGGTTGATGGTGGAGTGAGTGGAAGGCAAAAAATGAAGGGTTGAAACTGGGATGAGTCTGGCAGGGTAAAATAGAGGGTTGATGGTTAAATGAGTGCCAGGAAAAAAAAAGGGTTGAAGCTGGGATGAGTGTGACAGCGTAAAATAGGGGGTTGATGGTGGAGTGAGTGGAAGGAAAAAAATGAAGGGTTGAGGCTGGGATGAGTCTGGCAGGGTAAAATAGAGGGTTGATGGTTAAATGAGTGCAAGGAA